ACAGTTGGATCTCCTTTGAAGTTTTCAAGAAAATCTTCAATGTTACGTGCTTCCTAATCATTTCAAAAATTCCAATTGTTAAAAAGTTAATACCCATGTGTTAAATGAGCTACCTTGATGATTCCATCAGGCTCTGTTTGTTACACAGGTTAGGACAAGACATGACAGGTTGTACTGTGTTTGATATGCATTAGACTCAGTGGTCCCGCCCAGAAAGGTGGGAGGGTGTGTAAAAAAGACAAGAATGCCCTTTTTACCCTGATCATCAAAAATAGCCCTAGAAAGGTTGTCCAGTCCAGTGTAACAAATGCAGCCTCAAAGCATGAGATTATAATCTGAATACTACCAATGTATAATCAAGCTCCTCCAGAAGCTTCTCACCAAATTCATCAACTATAAGCTCTGCATTGCAACCCAACTTCTGTAAACTGATTCCATTCAGGAATGAAGCAAGTGTTCGGAATAGGAAAAGGTCTCGGTATATTATAGGCTCAATTTCAGGTCTTTGGACCTGAAAAAGTAGCAGAAAAGTTCAACAAAATAGTGATTTAATAAATCACACAATGTTAGAAACTTAGAATGATGTTTTTGACCTTAATAGCAACATCCTCTCCTGAAGCACGTAGAGTAGCCCTGTAAACTTGACCTAAACTTGCAGCTGCTATGGTCTCTGATGAAATTTTGCTGAAAACAGCTTCAAGAGGTTGCCCTAACTCCTCTTCTATAATGTTGAAAGCAACCTAAATATCATTGTTAAACCACTCACAGCTTAAAGGAAATATAGGGTGTAAAGAACATGTTGTGGTGCATAGACTGGATATATGAGGTCATTACCTGATTAGGAAAAGGAGGAACATCGTCTTGAAGAATGCAAAGTTCATTCATGTAATCTTCCCTAATAATATCAGGTCTGTTTGCAAGAACCTGTGAGCAAGTTACAAAAGAGTCAATACATCAAAAGAAATAAAAGCAAACTACAATTGTTAAAGAGTGGGAAACCTGGCCAGCTTTGATGAAAGAAGGGCCCAAGTCGCATAATAGATTCCTGAGCTGCCTAGCACGAAAAGGAACAACTTCTTCATCACGACCAACTAGATAATCATACACCAATCTTGTCCAGTAGAATCCCAACTTCCAAACAATCTCAACTCCTCTTCCAACCAGTGATAAAATCGCACCTTGTGACTCCAACACCTTACTTCTAACCTTCATACACAATTCAAAACGAGATGAACAAATATTATTGATCATTGAGAGTGTATGTTAAATCCATATACATACAACAAGGTATACTCACAGTATCAGGGGTGTACTTTCGAAACGGAATACAAACGCCACGCTCGATATCTAATTGCTCTAACGCACTGCTACTAATGGAGGCATTTGACGACGATTGCAATTCCTGTTCACTCCGGCTACCTCCGTTCACGGCAGCACGACCACGAGCAGTGGATGCCGCCGCTACCGCCTTAACAACCTTCAACGTTTTCCGATTACTGGACCGACGATTACGAACAACAGCAACAGGAAAACGGGTGATCCAAGTTGCGGACACACCAACAGGCGTGTAACAACTGGAATTCAGAAATGGTTTGGGTATATGATAACTAGTGGTACTCATTTCCATGAATCGTGATCCAAGGAATTTAAAATTGAGGAAAAAGATCCTTAGGAGTACGAATTGAATGCGGAATTGGGGAATTTGGTTGTGAAGTTTTATGGGAATGTTGATGATGCAAATTTGCAAATGATAATTTGGGGGATTGAGTGTTCAACTGAAAGACTGCGGTTGAAGGTGGATAACAAAAACGATTAAACGAACAATGGAAGAGCATTAATTAGCCACGTGTACACGTGAGAATGGCTGGAAACTCCAGGAAAATTGGCCCACAAGCCTTTTCAGAAAGTTATTCGTTCGATCACAAAATAGGACAGAAATGAAATGAAATCAAATTAAAGATAAGCTAATTATGTTCGCTATAATCAATCGTATCATGTCATAATTTATTTCAATGTTAATATCTTGAAACAAGTTGTCATAAGTCGGTGAACATTATATGAAGTTCCGGTGTTGTTTTGTTTTTCCTAACTTATTTAGTTTTGTGCAAATTTTGTTAATTTGTAAGTAGTCAGATAGTTTTATCTAGCTTATTAGAAGTTGGTGGTTTAAGCAGGTGAGTTGCAAGTTAGAGGGGCTAAATGGACAAAAGCTTAAAGTTGGTCGGCTGTGACTCGTTTTCTTGGAAAGATGGAACGAAACACGACCTTCTACCAGGTCGCATGGATCTATTTGTTTGGTCCAACATATTTAAGTGGCTGTTTTAGAGGACCCTCTTCATCCCATCTCATTGAAACCTAGCTGCGATATAGCTTTAGAAACCCTAATATGCTTTGTGGTTATTAGTGTTTCTTGTACAATCTTTATCTTAAGCAAGTTAATCATATGGATTAACTTGTTGTACATTTGTAGTTATCTTTACGAGTGTGAGCCATTACATAGTGAGATTTTCATATATAAAAGTATTGTGAACGGGTTCATCTAAGGGATTTAAATCTATCACTTTTGTAAGCAGTCGAGTAATAAAAGAGTTCTCTGATTGATACCCATAGATGTAGGTCACATTGACTAAACCATGTTAATTCTTTGTTTTTTTATTGCTTTTCCTTTATGATTATGTAATGCCATTACGACATGCAAGGAAATCAAAACAAATTAGCCACCACTTTTCACTCCGCTTGTCATTCCCACACTTTCAAATGCCCACTAAGCATTAATTAGTTTATTCTACCGAGAGATAATGTTTGTCATACAATAATCAATAATCACATTGTCAGGGTTATCTCACTCAAAGAATGAATGAACAAAGAAAAACTATAATTTAAGAATCCAACATAACCTCTTTCTGAACTTATATATGACATTGATCAAGTACTTATTATAGAAGCAAACAACCCTCGATTGGTGACACAAAGGGAAAACTATCATGTTTTTGGTTCCATGTCATTCAGTTGATCAAAAGCATTCCGAAATAATTACGTTTTTTTTTAATTAAATAACACCATGTTTCCAAATTTAGTTACGTTCACACCGTAACCCGATTTCCTTGCAATGTCGATGCACTAAACATGGTTGTTGTTGGCATCTCAGAGGACTAACTCAACTACGAGAAAAAAAAGGTACATATTCTTGAAAAGATCGAGTACAATAGGTACATGGTTGTTCCAATGCAATAGAAGCACTCAAATTTCCATAATTTCCTTGAAAATATCCATAAATAAATATGAAAAAAACCATCAAGATTTTGTTTGACATGAATTCTTCAAAACTACAAAACTATCACCCTAATCATTGTTCTTGTTCACAATCCCACACTAGTTTTGGGACCTATGACGATTCTAGTGCACGTTTAGTTTTGAGGAATTGGTGAGTATCATTTAGAGTGTCTAAGGAAAAAGAAAAATAATGACCTACAACAAATATGATTAAATTTAGTTGTATGTTTGAGAGTGAGTGAGAGTAAACAAGAGCAAGATTATCCACAACATGTATACCATAGACAGTTAGAATAATATTATGTATAATTTGAGGAGAGGTGAGAGAGAAAATAAATCTAATGGGGAGAAAGAGGTGGGATATGTGACCTCTCTTTAAATGTATAAAAGATTAGAAAAAATAGTTATAAACGAACAATTAATTATAGTCTTTTTCATTGTTTTGCAAAAAGAAATTCTATTTTTTTAAATTATATTGTTGTAAATTCTACAAGAATATTAGGGTTTTCATAAAGCTTTTTAATTTGTGTGATAGCAATATTAAGTTTTATATTTACATAATGAATTTTTTTTTTGTAAATTCATCTATAATTCTTCGATTCTTTTTTGAATCTTTATACGTGTTATTTCCTTGACATAAAAAGATGTTTTCATATTTTTTATACATAATTATGGTAACAAGGAGTAAGCTCGGACCAAAAAAAATTCAATAATTACGATGAAAGAAAAATAACTACCAAATACAGAACATGGACAATAGATCCATGGGTTATTTCACTTCTTGAAAAGATCGAGTACAATAGGTACATGGTTGTTCCAGTGCAATAGAAGCACTCAAATTTCCATAATTTCCTTGAAAATATCCATAAATAAATATGAAAAAAACCATCAAGATTTTGTTTGACATGAATTCTTCAAAACTACAAAACTATCACCCTAATCATTGTTCTTGTTCACAATCCCACACTAGTTTTGGGACCTATGACGATTCTAGTGCACGTTTAGTTTTGAGGAATTGGTGAGTATCATTTAGAGTGTCTAAGGAAAAAGAAAAATAATGACCTACAACAAATATGATTAAATTTAGTTGTATGTTTGAGAGTGAGTGAGAGTAAACAAGAGCAAGATTATCCACAACATGTATACCATAGACAGTTAGAATAATATTATGTATAATTTGAGGAGAGGTGAGAGAGAAAATAAATCTAATGGGGAGAAAGAGGTGGGATATGTGACCTCTCTTTAAATGTATAAAAGATTAGAAAAAATAGTTATAAACGAACAATTAATTATAGTCTTTTTCATTGTTTTGCAAAAAGAAATTCTATTTTTTTAAATTATATTGTTGTAAATTCTACAAGAATATTAGGGTTTTCATAAAGCTTTTTAATTTGTGTGATAGCAATATTAAGTTTTATATTTACATAATGAATTTTTTTTTTTGTAAATTCATCTATAATTCTTCGATTCTTTTTTGAATCTTTATACATGTTATTTCCTTGACATAAAAAGATGTTTTCATATTTTTTATACATAATTATGGTAACAAGGAGTAAGTTCGGACCAAAAAAATTCAATAATTACGATGAAAGAAAAATAACTACCAAATATAGAACATGGACAATAGATCCATGGGTTATTTCACTTCCCCCCCCCCCCCCCAAAAAAAAAAAAAAAATAAAAAAAAAATAAAAAAAAAAAAAACTTAAGGGTCTTTAACATACCTTCCATAATATTTCAGGCCATTTTGAAATTCTTCATAACTTTTGGGGTCGAAATGAAACTTTTCATCAAGATATGACATGGCGGCATTGTGGCCGCTTATTGGAGGAATATCAGATAAGCCAACGTTGGCCTTGGCACCACCAGGACGGCCACCACCACATCCTCTCAAACCCGACATCCAGCGGACCAGCGCCATTGTTGTTCTTCTGCATAATCCGTTTCTGAATCAACAATGGCTTCTTCTCCTTCTTTCTCGTTGGTTTCCTTCTCACATGTTAACACTGAACCATCTTTTATTCTACTCTCAAGTCGACAAAATCTAGTCCCACTAAGCCCTAAACGGCAATGCCTTAGAGTTTTTCATCGTCGAGGTCGCAATAACAGCGTTATCAGTGCTTCGGTGTCAATTCCAGCGCAAGAGGTATCGTCGTCGTCATCGCAGCGCCAGCCCGATGAACTTGCAGCCTCCATTTTTTCGAAGGTTTTATTTCACTCTCTCGTGTAATCAATCATATGTAGGGTTTTGCTTCAGCTTATCAACACGTAATTAACATATGAAACAATAAAGTAAATAACTTTCTGACACCATTTTCACTGAAGCTTTCGGTTGTGATTCTTGATCTTCTAGCTAATCCTCTCTTAATTGTGATTGAACAAGGATTGATAATAATTTGTAGTCTTCAGTGCCCAATCGTTATCCTATTAGGAATTAGAATCTCAAGTCTTCAAAAATGGATTTCCATAAATTTGTGAAAAAGCTTTCAAAATCACATTATATGCCAGTGATGACACTCCAAATCATAGTCGACCTATTGAATTTCTACATACGTTCTTATTATTGCAGATTAAAAAAAAAATCACATTCAAACATTCCAATGGCACAATCTCCGAAGATCAGTTGCATATATAAGAACATGATCCAAATCTGATGAACTACATACACAACTTTGAGCTACTTTGATGTCGGTTTATTAGTTTTACTCTTTAAATATCATGAACTTGGTGACCTTATTTGTATGTATATATCTAAATTAGGTTATGCAAACAGATCGAGGAGTTACATTAACAAGGGAACAACACCTGCAAGTAGCTGAATTGGCTGGTGAATTGAGTAAATATTGTGTAGATTCACCCGTCAAATGCCCCTTGATTTTTGGAGGTACTCTTTTATATTTGTTGATGAGGATGAGGATGAGGAGGAGGGCATTTACGTCTTTTGTAAAATCTTTACGGATTCATGAAATTTTATACAGATTGGGATGTGGTGTATTGTTCAAATCCTACATCACCTGGTGGGGGATTTAGAAGTGGATTGGGACGCCTTGTTTTTAAAACAAATGAAATGATTCAAATTGTTGAGGCTCCTGATATTGTGAGAAACAAAGTATCTTTCTTGGCTCTTGGTTTCCTTGATGGAGAAGTCTCCTTGAAAGGTATGATTCCATCTTTTTAAATAGAAAGATAGTATAAAGTTTTTTTTTTAATAGGAAGACAAGATTCTAGTTATTTCAAAACCCAAGTAAGTTTATAACAAAAGAAATATTTTCTAGTTAGACTTATAGAGTAAAATTGTAATTTAATTGAAATGGCTTGCAAAAGGTTTTTGTCATTAAAAATTACATTAATGAAAGGGACAAAAGACTATAACTTTGTACCGTTGACATCAGTCTGGTTTCAGTGTAATGTGTGTTGTCACTGTCACTATTACTGTCACTATCATGTCATATCAAGACTTGTGTTGAGTTTTATGTGTTGATAGTTTAATATTTCACTTACTAGTTTTTCATGTTTTTGCAATATGAAGGGAAATTGATAGTTCTAGATGAGAAATGGATTAAGGTGGTGTTTGAGCCACCCGAACTTAAGATAGGATCATTAGGGTTTCAATTTGGTGGTGAGAGTGAAGTGCAACTCGAGATTACTTATATTGATGATAAGTTGAGGTTAGGGAAGGGATCTCGAGGCTCTTTGTTTGTTTTCCAAAGGAGAAATCCCTAAACAACATAATCATGTCTAAGCATGCTTTATTGTATTGAACCAATGCCATTTTTGGCATGATTTTTGTATGTTGTATTTTATGTGTATATAACTATATAATAGTAATAATGTAAACATTCATCTTGTTTAATTATATCTTTATTTTCAAGTTGTTACTAGTTTACCAACTTGCAACCCAAAAATTAGGATGTTACAAAGATTTATTTCTTGTATAAACAAAGATCCACTCAAAACATGACAATCCGTATATTTGAAAAACAATACCATATTTATACAACAAAAAAAAAAAAAAAAAAGATGATTAGTTTCAATTCTATCAAGAAATACTGCAAAAATAGTGAAACATTGTGAGGGTATTTGTATAATTTTGGGGATGTTATTGAGCTATTTTCAACAAGCTTGCTTAAATTGTTTTAGATTTATTTTTAAATGCCCAACACAAATATCCCTTAACTCTCCTCCCACGTCTACATCTACATCGCAAGGAGGACTATAACCAATTGGTTGTAACTTCTTATACATTATACCATACATGTTCTTTTGTTATGATTTTAATAATATGTTATAAATTCATTTAACAGAATAATCTTTAAGAGTGGATAACTAATAATTTCATTACTAATGAAACGTTAAAAATTATATTTTTAGTCATAGATCAAACAATGGTCAGCGGTAACAACAAACAATTATGATCTATTAGACTCAAAACAAGAGATTTAACTCAACTAATCTATGCAACTCATTAGGACATAATAGATAAAGTGATACCTTTGATTTCTTGTTAGGTTTCTTTTTTTGACGAACCAGTTGAATGGACTAAAGAACCCAATGGAGAGTCCCTCTTCTGAAATCGCATCCAGGAAACAGAAAACAAGCCGATCTAAGTCATCCTAAAACTCCAACAATTAGATCCAAGAAACACGAATCTGTGTTTTGCCATGTCATGGCAACCAGATCACCACGTCGTGGGAACTGGGCTTCTGCGATTCAAGGGTTTTGAGAGGGTTCTGGATTTTGGTGATTAAAATGTATTTTTCTATAATAATCAAACCCGGATTAGGAGCCCCTTTTATATACGGTGATGATTTGAAACTCTAGAGATAATTACCAAGTGTAATAGTGATTATTTATGGAATTCAAATCATTATGGAATATTCCATATTCTGTTATCTTTTAATTAATTAATTAATAAAACAAGTCTCTTATATAAAAATCTTTTCAGTCTCGCATTATTTTATTCTTGCGTGTAACCCAAAAGCACTGTTATTTATAGTAATATTACCGGGTTTGTTATGGCTATGGGCATTATTCTCTATCAGCTCCCACTTTCACTTAGGAATCAACAATTGACCAATCTAATACTTACTAGAGACAACAGTGAGTGTCAATCCAATGCAATTATTGTACTTATAGCAACTTTGCTATAAACAACCCTAAGACCGATAACTTCAAATTCCTTTGATCTTCTTGATATCTTATTATGAACTAGAGACATGGATCTAGGGTCAAAATTATGCTTCTCGATACCGACTTGTGGTTACTTTCAGGCTGACTATCGAATCTAGTCAACACAGTCTCGGCTTGGCCAAGCATTTTGTTGATAAATTATCGCAGGTTAGTAGATAATGTCAGAAGCTTAGGGGACTTATGAGCTTTGGATATTTAGAAGACCTTTGGTTTGTAATATTCTCTTAAAACTTTATTTTGGTATCTATTGTAGCACTCTCACATGATTTGTTGTATTACACCACTAAATATTTTTGGAAATTTTAATTGGGACCGTTATCCATGTTTAAACTCTGTAATTATTTGAATTTAACTTTGGAATTCAAATTTATTAAAGACTAATTCAAATAGATCCATGCGAGGGGTGTTACAGTATGCTTACTAATAGTTCATGGACCTAGGGCCGATCCAAACGTATATGGAGCCCAGGACGAATAGAAAAAAAAAAAGGCCACTTAAAGACAAAATATAATAAAAATTCAAAAAAATATCATTTATTCTTCACTGTAAACATGTTCAATTAGCAATAACAAGCAAGCCAAATTGTTTATCTTTTGAGCTAGTTTGAGTTTGAACCAACTTTAGGCCCTAAAAATCATTTAGGTAATAATTTTTTTATATATATATATATACACCACATAACCCATAAATTTTGGGGGCCCTGGACACATGGGCCCTGGGTGGTTGCACGGGTTGCCCACCATCTAGATCGGCCCTGCATGGACTGTACCATGAATAGTGTTATGAAAAGTCCTTTAGTCTTGTACCAACTAAGAAGATTGATGCAATGCTCTATGAGATGTGAAGTGGGATTCACTCTTTACTTGCACATATCACTACAAATAAAATTACATTTACTGGCACAAATTTTTAGTGGCAAAATGCTTTTGTGCCACTATAGTATGTGCTTTAGTGACGCATATTTTTTGTGACCCTACAAAGTTTTTGGTTCCCTCTTATTTTCCCTGCTTTTATGTCTAAACTTTTAAAGAGACCAAAAAATCGCACCAATAACATCCCAAAAATACTAAGTAAAAATTTTTGTTTTTAAATCAGCCAAACCATCATTCATTCATTTCAAACCATCAAAAGTATATCTATGTGGAAAAATAATTATCAGAGTACAATCCCAAAATCATAAAATGCTAAATACTGGTAGATACGATGCAATCATGTCGGCCATTCCCTTTTAAACCAAAAGTACCTGAAAATCATTTAAACATAAATCGTAAGCACAAAACTTAGTGAGTTCCCCAAAATACCACATACCATACATACACATCATACATACATATCATACATACATATCAACCTAAAGCTGTAACGGGTCTATTTCACCCCTAAGTCCCTTCCAACTCCTTCGGTATCTTTCAACTGGTACAGGTCTATTTCACCCCTATATCTAAGCATAGAGTCATACTAGCAAGAGTCACAAACACAACGAGCAGATACAAGCATATCAGTAAGTGTCACAAAGACAATTATTCTCCTACAACATAATCCAAAGGGCCAAAATTGGTGCCTCCGACCCCCAAGTACAGTGAGGATACTCACCTATCAAATGATGATCAACTGCTATCACTCCTACTACCATGAAAACATATGCTATATACTACATATACAACCATACAAAGTACATCATTAGCTTACCTTCCAAAACTAGGGGTTTGACCCAAAGTCAATGCAAATCAAAAGTCAATGGTCAGAGTCAAACGATCAAAGTTGACTCGTCATATCGTGGCTCTCAAACGATAAAACATATGCAATTTCCTCTAGTCGCCACATCGTGGCAACCTAGGGCCACACCATAGGTACTGGGTTCAAAACATCTTAATAGGTTAAGCCAAATCATCGATTCCAAAGGTTCCAAATCTCATATTGGTTCGTTATTATAGTCTAGATGGATAAAATTTCCAACTTTATCCCCTGAGACTCTCCAAGAGGTCTAGATCTCAAGTATTAGGTCCAAAAAGGCACAAACATGGCATGAGCTCAACCAAGAATCACTTAATCCCTTAAGTCTCAAACCCATTTGCTCCAGGAGAGCTTATAACACTAAAACCAACTTACAGGTTGGTGCTTTTTAGACATGCATGTCTTGGACTCAAATTACATCAAAATGGGGATTATGACCAAAATCTTAGGCATGGATCAATCAACCAATCAAACTTCAGATCCAAACCATGAATTACTCTAAATAATCTAGAGATTCATAAAATTATGAAATATCACCAACCCAACTAACTGATGGGTTTTACACAAAAGAACTTTCCTATGTGCACATGCAAACCCTAATACTTGGATATAGGTTTCTCTATTATACATGCAATAGAGACAAGATTTATATCCCTAGATCTAGCATACATATTACAAAACTAATGTAACTAATGAGATGTAGATGATTACCTCTTCAGGAACTCTTGATCTTTCTTTTTCCTTGAGCTTAAAGTCACAAGTTTAACTCCTCTAATGGATTACAAACACCAACTAACAAGAGGGTAGTAAATGAGAGAGGGAGGAGGCACACAAAATCGACTCTAGGGTTCTCAAAGAAGTAGTGGCCGATTTCTGTAGCTTAGGGGTTCTATTTATACTGTGAGCAGCCAAGGTTTCAGTCAAAACCCTAATGGACAACTTAAACATTAAGCAGCCCATGGAACCTTCTGGAATAAGGCCATGGACGAAAATATGATGGACCCCCATAATAATTTCGTTCACCCCTTTAATCCATTAGGTTTCCCAGCCCAAAATACAACTATCACACATTTGATAGTTTAAGTCCCCTTTATTCAATTAATCTCTTTTAGTCACCAAATTAATTCCTAATTAATTTATGACTAATATTAATTAAATAATGTGATTTCTCTTTTAATACATTATTCTTATAATATATTAATAAACCATAGTATCTTCTCTCTCTTTACAAATTACCCTGTCAAGTTGCTATGATGAAGGCAACCTAAAATGACCATGCACAACCAGGTCAAGTACTAACCAAATATAGTTACGGGGTTAGACAATAATCCAACAGTCTCCTATTTGGATAAGTCTAGTAAATACAAATGTAAGCACAATCCTATTAGCAATCGTAGTTCTCAAAGATGCTGTCAAACTCTGATCTTATCAGTAACCTGTCCTTCAGATAAGGGATCGTATAATCCTCCATTCTAGATAGTGCGTATAATTACATGGAACATAGTCATACTTATTGTCCAACAGTTTGTTTCTCGATCTTTGATTCGTTTGACATAGAACTTAGTTGAACACATCAATTCAGTCCTGACCGAGCCCGACACATAAGTCAACCCAAATCATCGAGGGGCCCTAATATCGCTTTTACCCTCTTAGGATAAAAGGAACAGATAAACTTCGACTTATATGCATTTATTATTCACTAATCAAATCATACACAACAATACATTTTATAACATCAAGTTACTGATGCGTTTACGCATTATCAATGCACATCTAATCAACAAACAATAAACCATATATCTAGGTTTTAAGACCATATGATATTATCGTCTTGCGATCACTCGAGATAAATTCCATGAAGTGATTCCAGCAAGCGTGGGTTTATTCCAATGCTCAAATCAAACTCATAAGCACTCATGAACGTTGTAGTAAAATTTTGCTATGTCTAGTA